GGGAGGAAAAGTGCCGCCAGGGCAGCTCGGCCTGCCTTATTGCAGCATGCTTTTCATGTGAGCAGTGAGCCAAGCCTTTCCCTTCCAGGACCATTGTACCTGCCATCCCTCTAAACACTCGCTGGTGCTTTCATTCTGCTTCCAGAAGTTATGTGTATAAATTGCTGCTTACCTCTTTTGTAATAATCCTGAAGAACCAGTTCAGTTGATTAAGATATTATAATATCTATAAATAGTATCCCTGGTTGGTGATACCCATATTAAAAATAAATATTAGAGATGTAAATAATGTGCAGCAGTACTTTGTGATATGTGCTCCTGGGAAAGTTTTGAACCAGTAGAATTTTAGTCAACTTTAGTGATAAGAGTATTTTTTAATTCTATAAGTGTACAATATGTGATTCACACTGTGCTAGGCTAAAGCAAACAGTTCCTTGAAGTACAAATAACCATGAGTCCTATTTAGTATGACATATAAGTTTGAATGTGTGTATCCATTACAGTTTTGAAATATAACATAGTTTTAAAAGTGAATAAAACAAATATATGTCATAATTCCTGTGAAGACTGATGGTAAAATCAGCACTCTGATCAAGAAATCAGAAGCCCTTCTTCCTGGACATGACAGTCTTCCTCAACCATGCTGATACCTAGCACAGCTTGGTGTCTCCCATTTCTGAACTTTGTATTTTGTGTCAGGCTTCTTTCACTCATCAATGTGTTAGTAAGACTTGTAGTTGAATAGTGTAACAGTGTTCTACAGCTAACACATCCGTTTTACTGCTTTGGACATAGATTATTTGCAGTTTTGAGCTCCTGTAGGATCTCTGTTAGACTCATTTGTAGAAGGACAGAAATGCACAAATCCCAATGGCATAATTTCAAGATGCAAACAGACTGGATCCCCTAGTCACCACATGGAAGGGTGCAAAATCTATTGTAGGTTTTGTGTGACCAAAAAATTAACTTTTAGGTTTCCAGGCATTAAGATTTTAAGTTTATTTACTGCAGGACAGAATGGCTTAACCTGACTAATAAAAATGAAACCAATATTTTATCTTTAAAAATGCTTTTTGAAATCAAAATTGATTGATTTTTTCATACCTTAAAATTCCATGATTCCAATGGGAGCTCTTAAGTCTATCCATTCTAATTACCAACAAGTTGACAGCAGATGACAAAGGGCATCTGGAGGGGGAAGCCAGTATCAACAGGTCAGACTGTGTACCCAGAGCCTTCACCACAATACAGCCTGGTGTTTGTGACTTCGGACGAGGTCCCACTGACTGCTCATATGGTGCCACTCATTTGATTCTCCCATGTTCTCTTGTGAAAAGTGTCAGTACTATTTGATTTTCCTCTAGGATGGCACCTAGTAGAAAAGGAAAGTAAAGACAGTTATTGGTTGGAGCTCAGTAGGAAAGCAGTCACCCCAAGGTCCAGGGACTGGAGGGAACACTTTCTCAGAGAAGAATTGCTGGTGAAGCTGCGTCAGAGGGAAGCTTCCAACATGGCCCATTAAAGCCCTACTTGCAGGTATTAGCCACAGTTCAGAGAAAACCCAGTCAGCCACACAGACATGGCTGCAGACAGTTCAGTTTCACAAAGTTCACAATAATACCTGTGGGGCCAGGAGGAGTTGTGGGGGTGGGAGAGCCCTTAGGAGACCAGATCTTCAGATTGGAAATTCTGCACCCTCCCAAGTACCAGTACTCCCCAATTTACTAAACCCATTCCTGTTGGAAAACACATGGGAATGCATGAGATAAAGTGCAGTAGACTGTAAAAAAAAAAAATCAGCAAAAACATGACTTCATAATAATAACTGTATAAAGTGGTCACACTGACTCACAAGCTCTAAAACTATTTTATAAGAGCATAGAAAACAGTTTTGGTTTCCTTGGTGCTGGGGATGGAACCCACAACCCTGCGTATACTAAACATGTTCTCCTGCTGAGCTGCACCCTCAGCAATCAATGCCTTCCTCTTGCCTTCCATAGTGTTTATGGACACCTGCTAAGTGTGGAATATAGAAATGAACAAAGTAAAATCTCTGGTCTCACACAGCTTGTGTGGAGAGACTGCAATAAACAAATAAGGAAACAGATCATACAGTTTGAGGCCAGGCGACCCTGAGGGACTTCTCACAGCCCCCACCTCCATAGTTCTAGTCCATCCTACAGCAGTACACAACAATCCTTGCTTCTAATCTAGGTCCACCACACTCTGTTCCTGTTCTTTCTGCTGCCAACCACCTTTCTACTTTTAGACTTGGGTGAAATACTGAGCTATGCTCCACAGGTTTCCTATGTTGTCTGAAAAAAATTCTTACTAATAGGGACATTTTAGAGAAAGCTGCAAAGAGTTCATTAGGTTGAATCTAGACTGGACTGAACCTAGACAGATGGGCCAAAATGAGTGGTCATGTGACTATATTTTTTTTGCAATATATTTCCTATAGGAAGAATAGAAAGATACACACAGATGAACTTGTGCTTTCTGGGATTACTATAGACTTGTTGCTTGACAAAACATGGGAATTCAGATCAATTCCACATCATGGGATGGTGCATTTATAATTGTATCTACTGAATTCATATAGTATTTTTGCCAGGAGAAAACTTTCACTTAGACCAGGTATAGCTGAGAGCGCCAAGCCCTCCAGCAATAGCATGTGTTTTGTTGGAAGAATTGTTGCAGATGAGATCCAAACTCTGCAAGTCTTTGCTACTGCACCTTCAAGTGCTGTGGACTGTTGGGAAGCTCAGGTGGATGGGTATTGGATACCCACAGAGGGCAGCATATATGTCCCTCATCAGTGTTCCTAAACCTGTGTGACTAGCAGTCTACAACTACAAAGAAGTGTGAAGCATGTAAATACATCCCAACAGGGCCAGGACTCGGGGAAGCAAGCAAGCACTAAGCTCAGGCTCACACCAAGCAACCTGGGCTCTTGGCTGGCCCTGAGTGTAAGGGTCCACTTGGTACCTCCTTTACCTCCTTCCTTCTGGTTCTGTGTTCCATTAAGCCCCACCCCCAAAAAATGTCTATCCAGACTTACTTTCCCTGGCTTGGTCCCCAAAATGTTTACAGCCATTTTGAGGCCACTCAATATGAGGGGAAGTTAGAGTTAAAACAGACCATGAACTTAACCCGTGGTAGTGAAAATGCATTTACAACATTTACAGGAACATATTACCATGTGCCCACATTGCTAGGTCTCCCAATGATACCAAGCAAGGCCTTGCTGCCAAACATGCATAGAAGCCAATACTACAGCACTGGGTACAAAAACAAACAACAACAACAAAAAAAAACTTCATTGTAGTCAACCATCGAGACAAGAGGCACACTCAAATCTGATTAGGCAAAGGAAAGCGAAGAAAAATTGAAGCAGCCCAAAGGTACAGGGAAAATGAAGGCCAACTGGTTGTAACTGGGGAGTTTCCATTCTGTCCATTGTTCTGGTCCATCCTGCATCAGAAGACAACACCCCTGGATTCTAATCTAGGTCCATGATGCCTTGTTCTTGTTCTTCAGGTTCCTCGCGGGGAAACTTTTGGTTCCTAAGGCTTTTAAGGTCACTTTAGGTCAGGTCCTAGGGTTCTGTACCTACATCCTGAAAACAACTTATATTGCCATTTAATGGTCCTGTATTGCCAGGGCCTTGGAAGGTGCTCTTTGCCAGTCAGGTGTTCTGAATTCAAGCTCCGACCATTTGACAAACCCAGCTCTGTGTTCCCACAACCACACAAGCCTTCCAAATCTGATTTGGTGGTGCTGCTGATGTTTGCATGCAGGGTGTTACAGCCCAGGCCATTCTGATTTGGACCCTAGCACTGTCACTTCCTATGTGGAATTCAAACTCGTGGCTTAACATCTTTGTGCCTCAGGTTTTCCCAGCTGTAAAATGGGTATGGGTAATGCTAATAGTAGAGGAATTAGTTTAGGCAGAGTGCTTTCTGGTATGTAATAAAGGCTCAATATTTATTAGCCCTTGTTTCTTTGCTTCTAGTAGAATCATACCTATGTTAACAGCAGATGTCTCTTCTCACCCCACATGCAAGCCAGGAGCCTTGGTGCCCTAACCATACCCAGAAGGGGCAGCGCTATTGTGACCACGTGTAGGAGGAGGGCAGAGAGGGGAGAAGCAATGGTAAATGGATTATTTGTTTTTAGATAAACTAACGTGGCCAAATTACATTTAAGTAAATGAAGGAATCTGGGCCATAAGGAAATTTGGTGGACCGTGACTGTATAAATGCTTAGGGCATGCAGAAGAGAAGCTCAAAGGAGCACCAACAAAGTGAGGCACCCTTTTGCGTTCCCCCCAAAAACAAAAAAAATTAATGATTTTAGAGGGGGAAAAACCACACAATTAGCTGTAGTCAGACCTAAGCTGCCTGTTATTCAGTCTTATTCAGAGAACTTCTGCCTTCCCTTTGGATAATCCCTTTATCAGGCAGAGGAGGAGCAGGGGGACGATAGCGAGCAAGAGGGTGAGGGGAGCAGGAAGAGAAGTGGAGAAGCACGGGGAACGGGAGGTGGGCTGGGAGAACAGATGAAGCAGGGGCAGAAGGGAGAGGAAGGGGAGCAGTTATGGGAGGGTGGGGAGGAGGCAGAGCAGCCCAGGATCAAGAAGGGAGGAGGAACAGGGAGAGTAGGGAGAACCACGAGGATGAGAGAGATCAGGTGAGGAGGGGGCAAGCTGGGGGAGAAGGGAGGGGCCGAAGCAGGGAGAGAAGGGGGAGCAGGCAAAGGAGGAGGATGAGGGGGAGGAGCGGTATAGGAAGCGAGGCGAGCAGGAGGCGCAGGGGAAGCTCGGATCCACTGTGGGGTGGAGGCGCGGCCAGCTGTACGGGAAGCCTACGCGTCGGCAGCGCGGTGCAGGGGCGCGGCGTGCGGGCGGGGGCGCTGTGGCCTCGGCGCGGGGACTGCGCCGCCAGACCCGCCTCTTTCCCCGCCCGTCTGTGTCGCCGGGAAGCCGGGCGGAGCAGGCTCAGCCACATCGCGGCCGCACGGGCAGAGCCGCCCCGCGCAGCGGAGACCTAACGCTGCCTTTGTCCGCTGGTGGCAGCTGGTCCCGCGGCAGCGCGGTCGCCGCCGGCGATGGCCCCGCAGCAAGGGCGACCCGTGCTGCCTACCCGCTGCGAGCCAATGCCCGCGCCGCCCGTGCCGCCTCGCCGGGAGCGCGGGGGGCGCGGGGCGCCGGGGGGCCGGGGGCGCGCGGGCGGGGCTGAGGGGCGCGGCGTCAAGTGCGTGCTGGTCGGCGACGGCGCGGTGGGCAAGACCAGCCTGGTGGTGAGCTACACCACCAACGGCTACCCCACCGAATACATCCCCACCGCCTTCGACAACTTCTCGGGTGAGCTGCCGGGCCGGGCGCAAGGGAGGGCGCGGGCCCCGCGGCCGCAGGGCCACGGGAAGCCGAGCGCGCGAGTGCCGGACGTTTCCGGGCCTCGGGGCCGAGAGGCGCGGGAGCCCTGCACCAGGCGCGGGGCTGCGTGCCGGGGTCCGGCCTTCAGCCCCTTAGCTGAAGTGCGCTGCGTGCAGAGGGGCGCCGGGCCGCCGTCCTGGCGCCGCCGCAGGTTTCGGCGCGAGCTGACACACAGGTGGCCTCACCTGTGGCCCGCGCCCTGACCCTTCGCGGCTCGGCTCGGCTCGCCTGCGCGTCCTCGGTTGCAGCAGCCGCGGATTACTTGTAGGGTGAACCGCCGGTGCACGGGGCTTTACCCTGAACGTTCCTTTCTTCTGAGCCCAGCCTACCCGGCCCGCGCTCCTCCCGCACGGGCTTGGTTTCAGATTACTGGTGTCGCCTTTTCCTTCTGTGCGGCAAGTTCTTACCTATGGGGTGCTGTGTCATACAAAGATGAAGAAATCTTTTATCTTGGTTTTTCAAGTCTTTTTGAAATTTAAGGAAAAGTTAAATTTCAAAGAAGCTAATGTGAAACCCTCATCTTGTTCTTTAAAAAATGTACCTCGCTGACCTTCTTCACAATCCCTATGGCTTGTTGGGTAAAATGGAGCGTTGCAGAGGTTCCCTTGCAATCCTGCTTTGATACTTTTCCCAGCTGACTAGGATAAACATTTGTAAACAATTAAAAGGTTGTGCAGAAAGAGGCAAACCAAAGAAACCCCTATAGCTGCCCTAGAGTCAGCCTTGCCCCACTCCATACTCAGACCCTATTGAAAAGGTGGGTGGCTTTCCTGCCTCTGCTTTTCCTTTTTAATCCTCTATTTGAACTGACAGAGGACAGTGCCCTTTTCTATGCGCGGGGCAATGGAGCAGCCTGTGTTTGCAAAAGTTCTCCAAGTAGCTAGAGTTTTCTGATGAACCCTGAAGTCAGGGGACTTTTCCCGAGGGAAAACATAATTATCTGTGAGGTTTCACTGATTTAAAACTGCAGGGTTGGTTCCACCCACCCTCCTGTGTTGCTTTTAGGTCCTTTGAAACAAGTGTGACAGGAAAATAAATCTTCTGGGGCACCATCCAAGGGCTCAGGGATTCACTGTCTCATTCCTGGTGTGGAGGGAGTTGCTGGCCTGGAGGGCTTGTACACAAAAACACCTCCATGGCCTCCTGGTTTTAGCCAGATCTTTAGGTCTTTAGTTCACTAGAAGACCCAAAACAGGAGCCTAAGGTTTAGAGTGAGAAATGGGAGTGCAAACTGAAACTGTCAGTCCTCTGAGAGAGGTTAAAAAAGACCTCCTGATAATCATCTTGCTCTTGTTTTTAAGCTGTGGTGTCAGTAGATGGGCGGCCTGTGAGACTCCAGCTCTGTGACACTGCAGGACAGGTCAGTATCATGTTACACTCAGCTCTGGGAAAGGAAACAGCCTTTTAAAGGTTTCCAAACAGCCTCTGACATGTTTCCCCTAGTAACGGGGTCATTCTGAAGCCTCCTGAAGTAGGCCCACCCTGGCTGCAGATCTTCTGAGGGCATCAGGAGGAGGCAGAGGAGGACATCTCAGCCTGCTCTTTTGGCCAAGAGAAGGAGAAACAGTGTCAGAAACAGCCCTTATCTTGATGTATTTCTTGTTTTTACTGAAAAAAAAAAATGCAGCAATGCTTTATAATCATTTCTCAGAGTGATAAAATAATTTTATTCAAGGCCAATAAGCAAGATATTTAAGAAATTTACTCAAGGAAAAGCTGGAATTTACATCTATGAGCATTATCTCTCTTTTCCAGCTGTGGTTTGACCTGCTGGGACCAGCCTTAGTCCTGTAGCAGAGACACAGTGACCAGGGAAGCCTAAGCTGGAGGCAGGAATGAACGTCTAGACTCTCTTCATTTGTGACCATTTGTTCTTGTCTTAAGGGCCAGGCATTGGAGGAAACAGCCAGGGAGTGAGGTAGGGACACAGGAGTGGGATCCTCTCAGTGTCTCCAGAAGAGCTTGGGGCTCAGCATCATCCTTTCCACAATAGGAGTTCCAGTGTCACGTGGTGTCTTGTGACTGAGTATGCCCAAGTGACGGTCAAAGAACTAGTCTCTCCAGTATGTCTGAGTTGGTGAAGTACTATCGGTACTTTGTGGGTGGGGTGAAAGTGTCCCTTCACTCTCTAAGGTGCCATCACATCACTGTCTGAGCTTATGAAGAGTGCTGTCCAGTAGGCCCCAAGCCTCATCAAAGCCAGGACCTCCATGTTACCCACTACTCTGGAACAACAAATTCAAGGCTCAGGAGGCAGGCCTTATTCATTAGACCTCAAAGTAACTTAAGACTTAGAGGCCTTAAGCCAGAATGTCAGGCTGACAGGTACTATACTTCTGGACTAGTTGACAGAAAATACCGTAGTAAATAACAAATAGAAGATTCATCTAGAGATCTGTAGAAAACCAACTTCAAAAGCTGTTTATGAAAAGCACATACTGGTAAGATAAGGGCAGAGACTTCCCTTACACTTTAGGTTAGCTCTTGTTTTCTAGTTAAAGCAGTAGTTCTACCTTCTCTGGTCCTGGTCTGGTAATCCACTTTTTGAGGGGTTTAACATGACCCCTGCCATGTTTTCTTGTGGTTCAGCCAAGAGCACATCCCTCCTGTGTGCGTGAGAAGGGATGGTAGCACAGATGGGCTAGATCATGGAGCACAAGCATGGGCATCCTGGGGAGCTGATAAACTGGGAGCCCAGCACAGCTCTGCTGGCCAAGAAAGGACCTAGAACTCACTTCTGGTAACTTTGAGTTTTCCTGTCAGGGAGGGTAGGTGAGTCTACATAATGTCAAAAGGATTTTTAACGGTGGACTCATGGTCTCGATTGCAAATAGGGCAGGTTATATACAGAAGGCTGTAAGAAACATGCCTCTAACACAGGAACCAGGAGCATTGCTGAAGGAGGGGTGGTCCACCACAGAGTAGTGAGCAGGAGATGAAAATGATTCAACCTTTTGACCCACAAGTTGCTTGGAAAAATCTTTATACTAAAAAAGAATAAGAATAAAAAATGAAGGTACAACCTGACCAGAATCTGGTCTCCTCTTTCTACCCATCCTGCCCTGATGGCATTCTCTGGCATTTACAGTGCTGACCTGGTGAGTGCATGTGATTGCTTGGCCTTGGAACCCCTTCCTCCGGGGTGCTCCAGCTGGCCTTGTGCCCATGCATGAGGTGCATTACTATCCACACATCTAAGGTTTCTGGCCCCAAACTGAGCAGGAGGGCTCAGTTTCTGCTTTACCTCCCAAGCCCCTTGGCCAGTGTCCCAGAAGATCTAGGGAGCAGCTATCCAAAGCCCGGTCACCAGGCCCCAAGGCCACTGCAGATTCCAGGGCATGGCCAAGAGACTGCCTTCCCCTGCAGGAGCTGCTCCCCAGGGGTACCTGAGCAGTCATTTCTGTGCTCTTCCTCAAAGCCTCAGTACAGGAGAACATCTCATGGAAAGGTCTTCAGAGTTGACTTGGTCTCATGGCCAGGTTTCTGCATTTGTTCTTTCAGAACAAAGTTGGCAGGAAAAGATCTTAAGTTATTCTTTTTCAGCTTTCACTTATAGGAGCCTCACAAAGGGCATGGACACCCTGAGCTGCCACGCTCAACTCAAGCTTGTTAGCTGTCAACTATAGTGTAGTTAGCAGGTTGTTGACCCACAGTGGAAACAGAGAGCCTCAGATAAAGAAAAGACATTAAAATAAGACTGATGGTTGGAGAATAATGTGCCTGTAAGTAGGACTCTGTAAATAACCAAATAAATGGGAAACAGATAACATTTAACTTTTCCATGACATTGGGAAATCATTAGTGACATGATGTCTGAGCACAGTGGTGCCCACAGGTACAGATTTTTGGTTTTGTTTTGATTTATTATTTTTGAGATAGGTTCTTGCTGCATATCCCAGGCATTCCTGCTGCCTCAGCTCCCAAGTGCTGGAATTACAGGCATGTACCACCACACCCAGGTAGAATACACATTTTAGATAAGAATGAGATGATGATGTGAACACTTTGCTAGGACAGAGTTGAGTGGAAGTTTCCAGTGGGTTGGGTATGAGACACTGTAGGATGTTTGACAGGAGAAAATGCTGACTTGGAGATCAGCATCTACCTGTCCAGAACCAAAACTCCTGCCTAGCATGTGCCTGACTTTGAATGGTGTTCAGTCTGTTGGTGATGGCTGCAGGAGAGCATCCAATAGCAGGCTACTTGGTTCATTTATAATCCACTGTCATTTACTTGGTCCAGTTCTCTATACCATAGGGCAGATGTGTCCATTCTCTGGTCCACTATCTATCCACAGCACTGTATATAAAGCCTCAGTGTTGGTAGAGATGAAGGGAGGAACAAGAAACCACAGAAAGTGAAGGAGGTAGGAAAAGAAGACATCCAGAATAAGAATGTGTTAACTAATGCACATGGGTGACAAGTTTTCTGAATTGCCAGTGACATAACAGAGGTTCCCCAACTCCATTTCTGGGTCTGCCCCCATGTCTGATCAGCATTGTGCTCAGAGAAGGTGGGAGGAGTCAGCATCATTCACAGCTGTTGTAGGGAAGGGCAGGGCTCGGGTCTAAGAGCTGTGTTAACAGATGGAGGTTCGCTAGGGTCAGGTTGGAGTATTGGGGCCAGCATGAGGGTGTACTCTGAGTTCCAAAAGAGTAGCAAAGTCCCGTGAGAATGAGTCTGGGTCAGTGTGGGCCAAAGGCCAGATAGAGCTCAGTGTCTTCACCCCATGTACTTCAAGGGACTTCCTGTTGTATGCAGCATGTCGGTTGCGGACACCAAGGAGATACAGGCACATTTGCAGTGCTAGAACCATGCTAGCACTGGGAGTAGATGGCAGGTGCACCTGTGTCTTCTAGGCAGGCAAGGTTGGGTCTGAGACACTTGCTCTTCCCCATAGGACTATGGGCTTCCTGGGACCAACCAGGCCTCTCAGGACATGTGTTTAGGTGGTCTTTTGCTGGTGAGAGCTGACTTGAGGAAAACTCTGGCTGTGTGCTTGGTTGCAGGATGAGTTTGACAAGCTAAGGCCCCTGTGCTACACCAACACAGACATCTTCCTGCTTTGCTTCAGTGTGGTGAGTCCCACATCTTTCCAGAATGTCAGTGAGAAGTGGGTGCCTGAGATTCGGTGCCACTGCCCCAAGGCCCCCATCATCCTGGTTGGGACACAGTCAGATCTCAGAGAAGATGTCAAAGTGCTCATTGAACTGGACAAATGCAAAGAGAAGCCAGTGCCTGAGGAAGCGGCAAAGCTGTGTGCTGAGGAAATCAAAGCCACCTCCTACATTGAGTGCTCAGCCTTGACTCAGAAAAATCTCAAAGAAGTCTTTGACGCCGCTATTGTCGCTGGCATCCAGCATTCGGACTCCCAGCAGCAGCCAAAGAAGTGTAAGAACAGGACCCCGGACAAAGTGCGGGATCTGTCCAAGTCTTGGTGGAGGAAGTACTGCTGCCTGGCGTGATGCTCACAGATGCTGCTGTCAGAAGCTGTGTTAGCTGCAATGACTCGTGTAGAACATACGTGTGTGGTCATAGGAGGAGCCCTCAACACACGTATTCTTTCTTCTTTTAATTTCCTTATCTGTATGAGTTTAGGATGAGACTTTTTTTAAGCAAGATAAGTTAAAGAAGTTTTTAAGTTAAAAGTTGTTCATAAACTCTGGAAATGTAGAGTTTTAGACTTCTGGATTAATTTATATCTGATATGAAAAGGGCTCCTCAAAGCTGGATGTCAAGGATGAAATTTTGCTGCATTTTGATGTACAGACCAAGGGGGAATGTTGTGACTAATAACCTCTCTTGGTTAAGGGCTATTGAGCGAGCGCTCAGTGTATTACATGCAAAACCAGCCATGGTGAGAACAGCTCCCAGCTTTGAAACCACACAAACCATACCTGTTTTTCTAAGAGCGAAAATCTGAGAAAATAATGAGAGACCTCTACCTACAAAACCTCACACTGCCCCTTTTGTCATTTACTGATACTCAGTTGCTTAATATTTTAAAACAACCAAAAAACATCCCACTAACTACTGACACTGTGTAGACCAAAAAAGCAAACTTGTTCACTGGGGTTTTTCATTCTTCGAACAGTTGTGTTGACACTACAGTAAATTAGTGGAAATGCCCTGCAGTAGGAATGTGCCAGTCTAGATCACACATTTGTTTTAGGGAGCAGCTCAGGCAACTCAGAGATGAGAGTGTGGTGTTTGCTCTCAGACTCTGGCTGGTACACCAAGCCACCTGTGTCCTGTCAAGTGGAGCAGAGGGAGTTCCTGTCTGGGTGTTGTAAGCTTCCTCACTCACATCGTTCATCTGCAGGGCACTGGACACCTTGAAAGCCCACAGCAGATGCTTGTGAGACACACACATACCATTTCTTCTTAAGTCAGCCAAAATATCCTTGTTTGTAAACACACATAGGCACACACGCACATGTACATGCACACACACACACGATTGTGTAGCTGTCTGGTTTACTGTTGATCAGACTTTTAGACCATTAGTGGGGAAAGCATGGCCATAGATCAGGGCAATGTGGTTTCCTCTTGTCACCACTTCTTTGAACAGAGATCTTTTTGATACTCGAGGTACGATATTAACATATCTTCATTTGCACATTTTTGAAACCATCTTAAAAAAGTGACACGAACATCTCTTGAGACTGTCAAAGCAACCAGTTGAGCTTCTGGTGCTTTTAGGGCCCTGCAGCAGAAATAGTACTGCAGGCCAGTTGTTTGCAGGGCCATGGCCCACTCAGCGCTTTCCTTGCTGTGAGACAGTCAAAAGGCAACACTCAAGGCACATGTCCTTCAAGGTAAGAGTCTTAAAGCTGGCTGTTCTGAGGACAGCCCCATGTCAGGGGAGCCCATTCATACTTCAGTGACACTTCCAAAGTGCTAGAAGTGGCCAGCCACTGAATCACAGTGTCCAGCTTGCCATGGTGAGGCAGTCACCAGGATAAGTGACCAGCTAAGGATAGCTGTTCACTACCTGTGAAGCTGGCAGGTAGCAGAGTCTTGTTTCTGTGGATTTTGTGTTATCTTTTTTATATTGAAAAAAATCTAGTTGGGTTTTTTAATAGAAAAGGAAAAGATCTGTCCATGCTTCAGTTTAGGGGCTTCATTTATTCCTGTTAGTAAATAGGACTAGAGAATTTCTTTTTTGAACAAAGATTAATCATCAAGCCACTAAAATCCATAGACTGTTTGGTATTGATTTCTTAGCACATTAAACTTGATATCATAGTTTCCTGAAGTGTTTAGTTATAACCTGAGTGAATGACATTACTTATTTGTGGAAATGATTTTATCAGATGTAACTGTTACAGTCATTCTTCCATGTCTGGCTTTCCCATCCATGGGGGCCAGGCTCCCAGGAGGGGTTCTGTGTGCCCTGTGTGCACAGGCATTTAGAGGGGCGAGTTATTTCACTGGCAAGCAATTTTAAATGTTATATTAAAACAAATACAATGGAGTACATGCATATTAATTTTTAAGGCAGAACAAAAACTTAAATTTATAGCAGGACTGTCAGGCTACACTTACTGCCTCTGGGCCATTGGGTAAGTGGTATGAAGGATGCTGTGTGGCCAGTTCTGGAAGCTTCATTCCATGGCTCAATACACCTGGACCATTTGTGCCACAAATCTAGTGGGTTGACACCTGCAATAGTTTGTAATATGTTGCTGCATTTTATATGGTGTGATTGTACTTGAGATTTTCCACCATTTTTATTTATTTGTGAAAATAGGAATTTGAACTGAGAAAAATTTAAAGTGTATGTTTGAGTTAAATGTAAAGATTGTTCTATTCAAAGCTGAAAAAATGGCTAAACATGAAGCTTGGTATCTCAGAGAGGATTCAATGAGACTTAGGTGCAGAGAATGCCTGGTTAGCCTAAGTTCCATAGTCTAGGCTGACACCATAACTGAACAACACACTGTATTGGGCTCCAAAACTATCATCTCTTTTCACCACGTGTACACAGATGAACCTTTTATAACCTCATTGTCTGCTTGACAAACTGGCAAGCAGCTACCCAGGAGTCTCACAAGCCAAAAGGGGAGCCAGGCCTCCTCTGCAGACTTGTCGTAACCTGGTGCCTTACCAAGTTGTGCTTTTCTGTTATCATGTGTCAATGACATTGGGCAAAATCTTGTACTTGAAAATGCTATTCGTGTAATGGTATGAAATAAATTCTGACCTGTGGACATAACTGTGTTTACTTCTTCTACTGAAGGCAGCAAAAGCTCAGCCACACCTTGGCAGGGCATGGGTTGGGGCACACATCCCACTGATACCACACTTATTCAACATGGGGCTTTGTGAGCTCTATGTCTGATGACAAGCACCCTCTGAGTCATCATTCCCCACAGATCAGTGCTGTCTCCCCAGGCTTCAGGGTAGTTTAGGGTTGAGTGGACTTGACCCAAAAGCCTCATGTGAACACCCTGCCTTTCCCTTCAGACCTTCTGAGTTCTGAGGATTCCAGGGTCTGTAAAGCACAATGGAAGAAAGCAGAAGCTGAAGGCCTTGTGAACCCCCGATGGTCCAGCTGAAGCTCAAGGTGCTCATGTTCCCTGGCTGGTCCCAGGGGCCTTGGAAAAGGGCTGGAAGGACCTAGAGTTCTTGCCAACCCCTTCCTTGTGGCAGTGGAATTGGGTCCAGTCATGGGCCCCTCTGCACAGGGACTTTGAACTTCCAGTAGTACCCATACCTCCCAACACCCTAGGCTGATAAGAGCCTTCACTTCATGCTGGTCCCTGGGACTCACTGGCAACATAGTCCTGTTCTGTTTTCAGATAGCTGCCACTCAAGTGTCTTCGGCTGCCCTGAGGTGGGTCATTTCTTTTCTGCTGGAAGATTATCACCACACTTCCCACGGTTATTGTTTGCAGGCCTATAAGCCAACGGGAAAAAACTCCAAACCACAGACAAAAATGTAGAAGCAATGGGATACAATAGGAGAAAGAATCACAGCAACCTGCATGTGGACATCCTCCAAGGAGAAAAGAGGCCAGTATACACATGGCTTGTTCCCACAGGGCTGACCAGGCCCATCCTAAGAGAACTGCCTGCTTATGAATGAACATGTTAGTGCTGTCCACCTGGACAGCCATGCAAAGTCCATCCACTGCTGAGCTACATGATACACAATTCCTCTAAACATGTTCTGTTTTATAGGTACACACACACTAATATGTGACATACAAGAAAGAGCTAAGAGCACCAACTAGGGTCATAAGAAGACACGTTCAAGAGCAATGGCTGCTTTGTCTGCTTAGAGGTTCTTAGGATCAAACTTGTTCCAGTGACCCTAAGAGCAAAGGAGGCTGCTATGAGGAAAAGAATTGTGCTCTGAGTGAGTGAAACTTTGTAAGAGCATGAAGTTCAGAAAGATCATTATGGTCTCAATCATTCAAAGGAAAGCTTAAGCTGGGTGTTATGGCTCACACTGTAATCCTAGCTACTGGAGGCTGAGATCTGGAGGACTGCAGTTTGAGGCCAGTCTGAGCAAAAAGTTCCTGAGACCCCCATGTCAATGGAAAAAGCTAGGTATGGTGGTATACATCTGTCATCCCAGAAGGAAGCAAAAAATAGAAGTATCATGGTCCAGGCTGTCCTGGATGTAAAGTGAGACCCTATTTTTAAAATATCCAGAGCAAAAGAATATTCTTGCCTAAAAGTGCAGAGTCCTGAGTTCAACCCCAGTACCACCAAAAAAATAAAGAAAAACCTTAGACTAGTTAACAGAGTTTAACTGAGATGAGAAAGATTTGCTGACCACAGCCCTCAAGCCAGAAGAAGTTCCTAAACTGGTCTGCCCCCTGGTCAGAATGCATTGAAGAACAGACATTGGGAGTGAGGCACAGAGATGGCCTAGTTGGTTTCCACCTAGGTTATTGCCATGTGTGCCTGTAGCCTTCTGGAATCTGCTAAAGCTCAGCAGCAATGTTTGCAACAAGAGTGAATTCTAAATCAGGCTTCCTGTTGGTGAAGCTGCCTGCCAGTCCACGATGAGAAGCTCCAACATGAGGCATCCCTAGGCCAGCTTCACTCCACTTCACACAGTACACTGTGTGTCCTTTGCTCATGACCATCACTAGAATTTGGCTTTTGGTCATGTAACCTATTTTGGTTCTTAAAATTTATTAAGTCCAAGCAGAGTTGTTATAAATGGCATAACAGATTTTTAACAGTTTCCTAGGCAGTGCTGCTAGCCTTTCTTAATGTAGGGCTTGCTCTTTCTCCCCACTCATCTGCTAGAAATAGATTTTTAAGGAACCCTAATGGAAAATGCTGTCTTGCCAGAAAGAGGTAGCTCCTAGGAATCTTTTGTATTTGGCAGGGGCGGGGGGGGCGTGCCTGATCAGCACAGGTCCAGTGTTGCTCCTTGGCAGTGGGCAGCACCGCCCTAGGCAATATGACCGCCCAGGACTCTTCACTCACATAGGCAGTTTTTGCCACCTGGCAAGTTACACTTGCTTCAACTTCTACAGAGACAGGAAGAAGCTGGAAAGAACAAATAGGATATGGATAAAGGGCCATGCTCAAGCAGGAGCTCCAGAATATGGCAGCTCCCTGCTGATTAGTGCTCAGCCACTGGCCAGATAGCTGCACGTGGTCATGTACAGAAAACAGAGATGATTTCTGAGGAGAAATGACTGCCAATCTCCAAATGAGAAGAAAAAGGCAAGAATGACTTCTTGGAGATTGTAGTATATAAACCTTGCTCTGACCTAACAGCCAGATATAAATGCTATTGCCAATAACCTTAAATTAGACCAGGGTATTGGCACTACCGATTAGTTGTTGAAACTTAAGTGTACAATAATTAAGTTGGACACTTCTAAATTTGAACTTTTTATTTCCTCAAAAATTTTCAAGTCTTTGTAAAATTCCAATTAACTTGCTCATTATCTTCAGAGTATGAGGCCTATTTTTGTTTTTGGCTCACATCAACTGTAACATGTTAATTCATCATTGCAGTTACAATTTTAGATGCATGATGCATCCCAGTGGAAAAGACTATGAGATTTCTAAATAGAAGAAAACTCAGAAGCCATTTTCCCCAAACAGGTGAAGACATCACCTCTTTTTAGGCATAGATTTATATTTTTATTTGTTTAAAAGCAAAAATAAAATGGAATTGCTCAACTTTGAGTTGATTTTAACAAGGAAAGTTGTTCCATAAGTCTGATGACAAAGTCCATCAATCAGCCAAAAACCACTGAAGAGTAAAAATATGATACCAGTTTATTTGAGTTCAATTTAACCAGTGTTTGTTGATCTTCATTACATCCAGGCACAACTCTAAGCACCATAAACTCAGAGATGACTCTGGTGGTCCTACAGAAAGCCACATCTCATCCCTGAGACAAGAAGCTGGACATGGCTTCTATCACAATGTGTGGAGAGCTGTAGCAGCAGTCAGGGTCCACTGCCCTGCAGTAGCTTCTTGTTATGGGATCTTGCTCTCATTGGCCTAGTAGGTACTGCCTCAGGACAAAGACCATGCCTTCATTGTTCTTTTACTTCTACCAAAAGTTCAGACTCAACTTATGCTTTGTAGAAAAGGAAGGAAGGGTGCTAGGGAGGGAGTGAGAAGGAAGAGAGAGAAGGATAAAGGAAGAATGGAAACTTGTTTTCCTCAAAATTCATGTATTTGTTTTATCTCTTTTTTTTTTTTTTGGTGGTACTAGTAATTAAACTCAGAGCCTCACTCTTGCTAAGCAGGCACTCTATCACTTCAGCTACACCTGCCGCCCTGAAATTTATATTTTGTTAAAGTTTTAACCCCTAGTACTTCAAAATGTGACTATAGATGGAGACAGGGCCTTGAAAGTGGTGATAAAGTTAAAATTAGGTCATTAGGGTGAACCCAAATACAATCCCACTGGTGTCCTTATAGGAAGAGGTGATTAAAACTCAGACACAGGGCCATGACCATGTGAGGACACAGCAAGAAGACCAAGTTTGATCTTCGACTTCCATCTCTGGTAATGTGAGAAATAGATTTCTATGTTTAACCCACTTGGCCTGTGGTATTTGCTGGGACATCTCCAGCAAGTTAATACATAAAATAAGGTGATTCTTGAATCAGACATTTCTAAGTTAGAAAAGGAGGAAGGAATAATTACTCTTCCTGTAATAAAGAATCAGAAAAGATTTCATTGAAGCAATGACATTTGAACCAAGCCGACAGGGCTGTGTGAATTCACCACATAGAAGAGAAAAGAGGGTGACACAGGGAGATTCTTACATAGAACTGTGAAAATATGGAAAGTGGATGCATAGTACATCTAAGGTGAACTTGAGGAAGGACACCAGACAGATCATTGTGATCAGGCAGAAGACCTCCAGTGACCAAGTTAGGCAGGTCACAGAGTGGAAAAATCGATCTGGCCTGTGGTTAGGGACGGACACCTGGGAGGAAGAAGGATGAGGGAGGGAGAGCAGGTCAGTTAGGACTGTCACAGTGGTCTAGGAAGATGGTGAGGTTTGAACTGGAGATGGGGCTGTAGGAGTCAAGAGATGAGGATGAGCACAACACTGTCTCCAGGAATGGCTGGTCTTGGCAGGAACTGCAGTCCACAAAAGCACTGATTCTGCACTCAAGAGGGGAGAGGACATACCAGAGCAGAAGCACACTGTCAGGAAGGATGGTGGTGTAATTGGGGACTTGAAATGTGACAGAAATGTTGTGTATTGTGGTGATTAGGAGGATTCTGTGAAGAGAGTTATGTCCTCTGGCATGGATTAGTATCATCTGGGCCCAGCTTGAAAGGTTAGCCCATCTCAAGCCAAGTGGTGTCAAAGCAGACCTCCCACCCACTCTGACCATCAAACCTCAGTCCTAAACCACAAAGGGACATACTAGTCCCATCATGGCTCCAACCTTCCCATGTCTGCCCTCAAGGGGGAAGCTGGCTTCAGCCTTTCCTGAGAGAGGAAGAGAAGACAGGCTCAGCTACAGTACAATGGCAAGCACTGTGGTTCTCCATGGCTCAACCCAGTGAAAGTCCACTTCTTGTTCACACCTATCACAGGTCATTTGGACACTGTTCCATGTCACCATTGCCCTGCTGTGGGTCCAGTTAATGGGGCTACCATTAGCAATCACCATGGCCTCAGGAAGGAAAGGTGTGGAGAAGTGCTCTGCACTGAAGTCCCACCCAGAGGGCACAGGGATAGGAGACATCT